GCCGACAGATTTTGTAGTACTCAGTGCTAAATTCGATATCTTCATAAACCCCTCTCCTCAGGGCTCAGGGAGCGAGACAAAAGAGGTAGAATGATTGTAAGATCCAAAGCAGACAGATGACTCCAAGAAAACAGTGTCCTCCAGACACAACAGGATTGGTACACATGGCAACTCACACAGACTTCGCCAGCATACACAGGATCTGCACAGGTTCAAGCCAGATAAGGCCCCAGCACTGAAGGGAGGCAGTGGACACAGAATCCCACTCCTAAACAAGACGCTATCTTCAACTTACACTTGCTTGCAAAGGAAGAATTCATTTTCTCCAGTGGGTATGTTAACCATACTTCAGAGTAGGCCCCATGTCCAGGAGTATCTGGCCATGTTGTAAGATTTTCTGGGTTTGTCTGTTAGTTTTGTTTTGAATGTTTATTTTTTTAACGAGAGAAAGGGTGTGGAGTTGGATGGGTGGGGAGGCTGGAGAGCCTGGGGATGGGATGGAAGAGGGAAAATGCATAACCAGAATATACTACATGAAAAAAATTTCAAATAAAAATTTCTTACCTAAAAGCAGTAACACTCTTCATTTCATAGACTCCTTCCCAGCACTACTCTAAACACAGGAGCAGAGACAGGACTCTTCACATCCCCAGAGAAGGGGATACATGAATGGAGTCACTAGACAGATAAGTCATCAATTCTCTGGACAGTACTGACTGACAAAGGGAGGTAGTCAGCAGGAGAAGGAGGGGAAATAGGTGTCCCTGGGATTTTCAGACACAAGCTAGGCCTGTTCACCAACTTGCAGGAGGGGAAAAAATGAGTCTGAGTAGATTATAGCGAAAATACACCCGTTCTTCCACAGTCTGACTGATACTTGCCCCAAAGATGGCCAAGATTGACAACATCCTTTCTCAACAGGACCACCTAGCACAGATCTAACAGACAAGCTGTGGTGGTCCTGGCTGTTTATTTTGCATGTCTCTTTAGACCAGTGGATCTCGACCTTCCTCATACTGCAACCCTTTAACACAGTTCCTCATGTTGTGGTAACCCCAACCATAATATTATTTTCACCGCTCCTTCATAACTGTAATTTTGCCACTGTTATGAATTGTAATATAAGCCGGGCAGTAGTGGTGAATGCCTTTAATTCCAGCACTTGGGAGGCAGAGGCAGGCAGATCTCTGAGTTTGAGGCCAACCTGGTCTATAGAGCGAGTTCCAGAGACAGCCAGGACTATATAGAGAAACCTGTCTCGAAAAACAAACAAAAAGGCGTGTAATGTAAGTATCTGAAAGCTCCTGAAGGGTTGAAATCCACAGATTGAGAGACACTGCTTTAGAAAGAACACCCACCCACACCTCAGCCCCATGGCTTACTAGTTAGAGATTTATCTGGAATACATTTTAATCTAACTAGAAAAAGAAAAAAGAAAGAAAGGCTTATAATGCTTCAAGGACTGCAAAATAAACTTGAAGATATTAAAAAGACACAAACAATTTAAATAGAAGAAATGACAGGGGAATAAAAGAAACCCTACAAAATCCCTGAGTACTGCTGGGATCCTTGGCCTCTTGGAAGCTGATATGGGAACCCCTAAACACAATTTTATCAAGCAGGTGAAGACAGGTGCTCTAGGGAGAGCTTTTCCAGGGTGAAATTGGGTAGGATCACACTTGGAAACTTTAAGGAGAGCATGTTAGGCAGAAAAGAATTTTAAATAATGAAATAGAACAAACTTCAAAAGAACAACGAGCGCCCTAAGTCACAGAGGTGCCAAATGATCTAGTCTCAAAAAACACAAAGCAGCCACATGGGCAGGGATGCTTCACTGAAGTCTAACTAATCATGTTGGGTGATCTGCACTCACCTCACTGCCTCTCTGCTGACATTAGCATCCAAAGCGAATTCCAGGATTTAAAACTAAACCAATCCTATGAAGCTCTGGAGTTTGGGGTGGGGGGGAGACACTGAATTCCCAACCAACGAGTATTGTGAAGTTCAGAAGATGAAGAATCTGAAACCACTCTGGCCAACTTCAAGCCCTTGTTCCTACTAAGAATCTCCCAGGGTAGGATCTAAGTGTCCCTAGCCTCTGCTCTGGCAGAAAAAATGTGGAACATATCTAACATTAGTCTCCTACTTGGAAATGTTCCCCACCAGAAGACTTTGATATAAGCTCAAAGCATCTTTCAAAAAGTAACCTACTTGCTGAAGATGGGGCTACCTTAGCATAATACTTGCTTAGCATGCAGGAAGCCCTCCATTCATTTCTCAAGTACAGTATAGGGGGTACACACCAGCACTTGGAGATGGAAGCAGGAGGGTCCGCCTTAGCTACAAAATGAGTTGAGTTCCAGGTTATTCTGGACTACATGAGACCTGTCTCAAAAAAAAAAAAAAAAAAAAAAAAAAGGAGGAGGAGAAGGAAGAGGTAATAAGGTAACTCACCACATCTAAGGAAACAGGAAACATTAGTTATGCTCATTCATACATTTCAGCCTACCAAACAGAAATCAGAAATACTGGCATTTCTAAATGGTTCAAAAAATATAAACCTTCTCTTCTTATCTTAATCATTAAATTATTTTTAGAAATTAAAGTAAATGTAATAAAAGGGAAAGCTTAGTATATAAAACAATCACTCCCTGCATGGAAGTTATTGTTTCCTGTGTTTAATCAGGGTACTAACATATAAAATGTTGCAACAGCAGGTAAACTTGGTTAAGTATGGGAATTCTTACAGGATGCTCAAAGTAACCAGTCATATAACACACACATTGTATGCCAACTGATTGCTGCTTTCAGTGTGTTCGTGTGGTGCTGAGGAGGAACCCCAGAACTGCCATACATTCTACACAAATGCTTGACCACTGAGCTCTGGTCCAGTGATAAAGCCAGTTTAGTTACAGGCTTCCAGGGAACATTCTAGAATCTTCAGGTTCTTGGGGGTCCTGAGGGAAGGAGATATATGCAGCCCTTCCTTAAACCAACACCACCAGAGGGGGTGAGATTTCCAAACATCCACAGATCTTTCCAAGAAGTGCCAGTGTTCTCCCTTAGCTTCTGGTTTCAGCAATTACAAAATGACCTTGCTCATTATCCCCCAGTGTTAGGCCAGAAGCATTTTTTTTTTTTTCCAGGAAGCAAGTGGCTATCTTTTCTTCTACAGTAAGAGCCAAGGCTTCAAAGAGATAATGGAGGGAGCTGAATTTAAATAGCTAAGCTACTCTTGCCATTTGTTAATATTACATGCATTCTCATCTTCCAAAACAATATAAAACGGATGCACCCAATTCTGACTCACACTTCAGGCCATGGGGAAGGATGCCACAGGCAGAGAACTAAGGGATGTGCAGGGCACCAATGTACCAGGTTCCCTGCTTTCTACTTAGCCTTTCCTTCCTCTACAGCAGTGGGACCCAAAATGAAGCTCATGATCACCATGATTAGGCCAGAGCAATGGCAGTGCATCTATATTGTCAACAGCCAATTCAGTGCCCCAAATCACCACAAACCCATCCCTACTGCAAGAGACCAACATGTATCAGGCAAGTCAAGACATGGCTGAGATGCTAAGAGATGCTAAGATGCTAAAACTTATGTCAAAGCAGGACTCTTCATAATGGTGACCAAATTGGAGATGTCTGCAATTCCATTACTGCCCGAGTGTATCAATATCCAGCCCTCTGTACCCCAAGGGCAGACAATAAAACTCACAGTAAACTCGCTTTTACTCTCTCCATGCTTAGGAAGCTCTCCATCATCTTTAACTTCTCTGGACAGCTCCCCTAGTTGATTCTCTGGTGTTTTATCTGCTCTGGCTCTCATTTGTTTCCTTCATCACGAATTTTAGAGTACCTACCGTGTTCCAGACACTATTCTCACAAACATGAATATTGCACAGCTTTGGGTCTCCTGCTATCTGAATGAAGACTGCATGTGGAAAGGGCTGGGGAGGCAGAAACAACAGACTCTCAAGGCAGGAAGACCTGACTGCTCGCTCAGGTTCGAGCAGTGCAACTTATTCAATATCATCTGGATGCTGGATTCATGAAAGCGATCCGCTTATGGTCAGAGTCAGATCTTGTATGTCCCACTGAGGAATATGGGGCACCAGTATGAACTGTTAAATCTTAAGAGGGTCTAAATCAGTGGGTCTCAACCTTCCTAATGTAGTGACCCTTTAATACAGTTCTTCATGTTGTGGTGACCCCCCAACCACAAAATTATTTTGTTGCTACTTTGTAACTGTTGTAAATTATAATGTAAATATGTGGAATGCAAGAAACCTGATATGGACCCAAAGGTCTCAAGGAAGTTACACTCAACCTGCAGAAGTGTTGTGTCTCAGAAAGTGTTTTCAAACGCCAGAACTAGTTCCAAACATTTAAAAATTATGAAAACTTGGATTTTGGATTTTTTTTTAATTCTGGCAATACAGGTTCAACATTCACACATGGTGACAACTATCTAGATGTGGAGAGGCGCTGCCCCTGCCAGAGGAATTCATGACCATTTCCACTTGTACTGAGTTTCACAGATGAGTGAACACAAATTTGTGTGGAGGAGAGCAGTACACAAATTTAAAGTTGAAGGCAACACCCTGATTAAACGCGACATTTAACTGGAGGCAAGGTGATGAGCTTGGAGCACAAGAGTGAGCGAAGCCTGAGCACAAATGTGAGAAGGGGAAATGTTGAAAATACGCCTGGCACAAGAATTCTTACTAATCCTGTAACTTTTGAGTGCCACCGGCTCATGATCCATATACAGTCAAAAGTGACTTCCAAATTAAAAATATAAGTGGCTATTAGGGACGAAGCCATGAAACCACCTAACAGCTAGGAACTGCAGCACGCCTCCTGTGAGGTTCTCATCTGGTTTACCAGTCGCAGCAGAACAAACTAAACTGTGCTTGCAAACTTTCCGAGCCAGGCTCCTAACAAGTGGGATCGCAGTTACTTAGCAAACTTAGCAACCCTCTGAGAACTTACACAAGCCGTTGACATCCAACATATTGGAGATGCCCCTGTCACTCATGTCCACTTCCGGCTGATTCTTCTCCCTGCTCTCCTCCACCAGCTTCTTCAGTGACTTAGACATGTTCTGTAGCAAAGGACAGCAAAGCACGTGGGCAATGGCAAAAGTGTTGGGGGTGGGGGCGGGAGGGGGTGGGAAGGATAGGGGCCAGAGCTGGACTCTCCGGGGCTGTCTGGGGGAGAGTGGGTATCACGGCGGAATCCTGAGTGGAAGGGCCCGGACCCCGAGCACTCACCGCAGAAGGCAACAGCTGGCGGGTGTGCGTGGGAGCCCGCAGGGGAAACTCGGGTGGCGAGCGATGCACTCGAACAGCCAAAACCAGGATCTGGGAGGAGGAACACACCCTGTCCCGGCGATCGGCGCAGGCGCACACCAAACCCGGCCAACCCCCACGCCCCTCCCGTCCTGACACTTCCCAAATTAGGAGAACTGTTTCCTAGTTGTGGCTCCCGGCGAGGCTCAGCCCAAAGAGGAATGTGAACCCCGAGGCCAGCCAATCATACACGATTTTAGGCTCGGAGACTCCACCCCACGCTGAGCGACGCCCATCTTCCTCCTGCTTGAAACTTGGATTGGACTCAGCGAGGTGCGTGCGGTCTAGATTCTACGCATGCTCAGTAGATTGGCTGAAGGACAAAGCTGTGTGGGCGGAAGCAGGGAAGTTTAGAGCGGCAATGCTGAAAAGGGGTAGGTATTAAAAATGGAAAGTAGCTTGTGTTGAGGGGTGGGAAGCTGAATACCGGGAAATCCAGAATTCAGTTATTCTCTTTGCCCTGCATCTTTCATTGCGGCTACCCTCCCACGGCGGGTTATTACCCTGAATTCCTCTTCATCTGTGGCTGGTGAAGGCATGAGGTCTGGATTATGATCCAGTTTCTGAGGACAAGAATTCGGTCAAAAGACGTGTCCTCAGCTGGAGGCTCACGGGTTTCTATATCTGCCTGTTTTGCCTCTGACCTTTGTCTTAAGCAACTGGAATCTCCCTAAGGGTTAGATGCTAACAGTAAATAAGCCTCAACCATGTCAGAGTTCCACCAGAAGATGAGGAGCCAGCTGCACCTGAATCTCCCCTACCATCGTTGTCTGAGAAGATCTGACACTGTGAACCAAAATAAATTCTCCCTCTATTAAAGTATTCCTGTCGGATGTTTTGTTACAGCGATGTGAAGATAACTAATACAAATTATGTCATTAAAATGTAAAATAAAAGAGCAGGTGGACAGCCTAATGAGGAATTATGAGGTTTGGGAGAGTCTGAAAAATAGTCTGGAAGTGGAAACCCAACCCTCTGGGTCTGTTAGTGTGCTCACCCACAAGGAAACTCTCTGAACCCAGTACTTACTTTGGGATGTGGCCCACGAAGCCCTTAAACTCACTGGGTTGCCAAGGCTGGCCTTGAGCTTGTGACAATCCTGCCTCTTAAGTGCTAAGATTTCAATAGTACATGATTTCTTCATCCTGCTTAACACCATTGGATTTTTCAATGGAGGAGCAAGAATGATGGCTCCATGGTTAAGGGGGCTTGCTGCTCTTTGAGAGGACTGAAATTTAGGTCCCAGCCCCATGTTGGGCAGCTCAGAGCAGCCTGTAACTCTAGCTATAGGGGATCAGATATCTTCTGGTGTCCAAAGTTACCAAGACACACACACACAGAGAGACACACACACAAATAGATAAATGCATCTTTAAAAACTTTCCAATGGATCTATGGCTGCAGATTAACTACCATATTTAATTAGTCATGACTAGTCCTTTGGGCTACATAGGAGACGCTTTTCCCCATGGTTACAGGGATTAGAATCTCCACTCTGTCACTGTGAGTCCATATTTGCTTTCTATTACTCATTTTTCTCATCTGTAAGGTGAGAGTGATGGTTCCTACTGTTCCAGTGAATTATATATGTCACATGGGGAATGTTTGTGCCTGGCACAGTGCAAGGGCTACACTAAAATTCTCTCCCTGGAACTACGTGGAAGACATCTGAAGAAATTCTTCCTGTTAACTAGAGTTTACGTAAAATAGGGACTTTTGAACAGTAAAACCCACATCTATGGCATTTTTTTATCTCAGACAGTCATGGCCTATTTGTCCACTGGATTGTTTGTCACAAGAATGCCTCAAGTCTCAACAGATTCCACTGAGCCTATCTTTCAGCATTTCTTTTGCTGTAATAAACACCATGACCAAAAGGAACTTCGGGAGGAGAGGGCTTATTTTATCTTACAATTCTCTGTAAGATAGGTCACAGTTCAGCAGAGAAGGAAGTCGAGGCAGGAACCTGGAGGCAGGAACTGAAGCACAGGGCATGGAGGAGTGCTGCTTACTGGCTTGCTCCTTATGGCCTGCTCAGCCTGCTTTCCTATGCTATCCAGGCCCACCTTCCCAGAGGTGCAACACTCACAATGAAGTGGGCCCCCATACCAATCATTAATCAAGAAAATGTCCCCACAGGCTTACCTACAGGGGATCTGCTGGCAGAATTTTCTCTCCCCGTAACTCTAACTTATGTCAGGTTGACAAAACAATCAACCATACAGGGCCCCATGAGACTCTATAAGCCTCTGAGATGGGTATCCCAACCAGTTCCTAGAGGCCAAACGGAGACACTCTAGCCAGACACTGCACTTTATCTTGGATATTAAAAGCAAGCTCAAGTTAGTTAATGGGGGAGGGAGATCAGAGGGCAGTGGAAGGCTGGTTCCCTCCAATACCACCTGCCTCAGACTATGACAAAAAAGGTTGGACCTCAGAGGAATGAATTAGAGAGCTGCTTCCAATTCTGTATGGCTGCTTATTGCTGGACTATGAGGAGGCAGGAAAAGGAAGTGGTGCTGGTGGTGATATCTTGTTTTCTGACCGGCTCCATCTCAGATAGGATGCTGTAAGTTCCCATTTTCCCCTCAAGTGAGTGGTTTATCTATGACCTTGGGATTTTCTCAGTTCTGTGAAAGCAGACACTTCCTTTTCTCTACATTTTATTTTACTTTTTGAACTACATCTGTATCTCTTTTGAGTTCCTTCAGAGCCACACAGTGTACAACTTTCCATTAACTCAAGATAAGGCTGCCTGCCACCACCTCGTGCCCATGCATTTTACATTTGGGCTTTGTGGTCTCCTCTGCCTGGGTTTTGGTTTATGGTAATGAAGCTTTAGAATGACACTCTGGGAATGAGAAGGGAAAAAAAGTCCCTTGCCACTTTCTCTGAGGATCTGACTTAATGTAAGTTTCAGCTGATAGGAAAATTTAAGGCTGAGCATGGTAGCACATACCTGTAATCCAACACTTGGGAAGTTGTTTAGTTTAAAGTTACAGGACAGGCTGAGACCAACATCAGCTACATTTAAAGAGCCTTTAAAAATAATGGGAAAAAGAATAAGGAAAGGAGATGTGTGAGGGAAAAGCAGGGAAGATGAGAGGGAAAAGGATGTTGCAGGAGATTTGATCACACTTTGTGAAAGGTGCCTTCTGATTGGTTTAATAAAGAGCAGAATGGTAAGTAGCAAGGCAGGACTTCTGAGGAGAGAAAGGAACTGGAGAGCAATCTAGGATCATGAGCGACAACAGCGAAAGGCAGAACAAATCAGACATACAGAATGGGAGAGAGATAAAAGCCATGTGGCAGAATGTAGATTGATAGAAACAGGTTAATTTGAGTTATAAAAGCTATTTGGGAACAAGCCTAACTGAAAACCAAGCTTTCATAATTAATAATAAGTGTCCGTATCATTATTGGGAAGCTGGCAATTCTAAGAAAGTCTAATTCCAAAAGAATGAGGGAGGGAAGGAAACTGGAGAAGAGAGGAGGGGAGGGACACACAAGAACCCAGGAAAGTTGGAACTGGGAAGTCTGCATTATAGAGAGATATCAGCTGATAGAAAACTATGTCTGTCTTCATTTACTTCTCAGTGTGTTTAGTGTGTGTCACAGGGTAGAAATTCAATAAGCATTTATAAGTGAACAAATTATAAAGTAGAACCAGTGATGAGAGATGGGCATTTCCCAGAGAAAGCTAGCTTTATCTCACTTGGTGTCCACAAAGCAATGGTATCTGTAAGAGTGATTTCCACTCAGAGGGACCCACACTTTTCTAAGATGCATGCTAGCATGTCCAGGAAGTGTGACAATAGAATTAAAGAAAGCATACTCGATATTATCATGTATTTGGAAAGTTGAAAACTTATCTTTTAAAAAAAAAAGGAGGCACAGCTCTCCATCATTTCCAAGTCCAGGGCTACAGGGGTGCTTTTAGGTGGTCAGGCATAAGCTCTGTGTGCACAGCAAAAGGAAATGAACTCTGAGTTTTCAAAGGGTTCATCTCCTCGAAGATGGTTGTGCTTTTCTCCCTTTTTAGGGATGAATGCATGATCTTGCTCTTTCTTCTTAAATGCATTGCAAAGATGCAGAATGTGAAAAGGATTGCAGTCATGAGTGGCACATGTATGTCCTGAAAGTCAGATCCATCCGATGTATCATCATAGATGAATCACTTTTGATTTCTGGTCTTCTTGCAGTTGGTCCTTTGTTCCAGCTTGTCAAGGTCCTCTGAATTTGGTGTTATCCATTGTTTTACCATATTTCCAACACAGCATTATCCATAAACTGGAGATATATGCATAGCTAATGGAAGTAGGGCTTTTTAAGTTGATAATATTTCATCGATGCTGCTGTATGTTCTCTACAGAAACAAGTGCTTCAGTATTGGACTGTTAAAGTTAGATGAGGCAACACTCTCATTCAGTGCAGGTCTTAAAGACTTTACTTTGCATAGTTAACCTGTAGTAAGTTTCCTTCTGTGAAGTCATCTGCTCTGCTGGAGGCATGGAAAACTCCAGAAAGCCCTGGTTTTCATGCAGAAAGGAAGCTAGTAAGCACCTCCCTTAGATATTCATCTGGAAAATTAGGAGGTGACAACATGCTGTGGGGGTATTCTCATTCTTGACAAAGCCACATAGTGTACTTCGAAGCTAAGGCACTTGAGGTGATGGTACCTACAGGTGCCACACACCCGAAGACATCACATACAACTTCAACACATCTGTGATTTAGAAGTGTTCATATCAACCACTATTCACGGGCAAGCTGGCATATGCAAGGCTTTGTTTTGTGGGTCTGTGCAATTTTATAATTGATAATCATAAATGAAATTGTCTACAGTAAATGCTCTATATTGTTGACTTGACTTGAATAGAAATATGTAGAATATGTTTCAGAACTAGAACATGGTCCTTCTTAGAACATTATTTCTTTGAGAGTTTGCTTTTACTAACAACTTTTAAGCAGACAGGAACAACAAACTTTACAACCAAGTATTCATTGATTTCTTGCCACACAGTAGTAGCTTCAAATATAAAGGGAAATATGAAGTTGCTAAATAAAACACACACACAATAAGAACTAATGACCTGCGTGAGTTGAAGGTGTAACTGTAGGGCTAGAAATATGAAACATGTTTCTGTTATAGCAAGCGCAATGTGTGTAGTGTGACATGGAGGGCAGCAGGGCTCTCGTGGTGTGAAGAGAGCGTATGTAAGGTTAAAGAGACAAATAACTGCTGTGCGATGGGGATAAGGATTTTTTTTTTTGATAATTTAATGTGTTGTGATTTGAGTCTGACATGACCCAACAGGCTCATGGTTTTAAACAGTTGATTCCCATCTGGTGGAGCTGTTTGGAGGCTGCAGAACCTTTGGTACCCAGCTGGTGGCGCTGTTTAAAAGGCTGCGGAACCTTTGGTCTCCAGCTGGTGGTGCTGTTTCAGGAGGCCATAGAACCTTGGGCTGGAGGAACTGGGGCAGCAGGGCAGAATCTTGGAAGTGCTCTGCTTCCTGGTTTTCTGCAAAATAGGTGGTTTTGTACATGCTCCTACTGCCTGTTTTCAGTGTGATGAAAAGAAACCTTCTAAAACAGTGAGCTAAATAAACTCTTTCTTAAACAAATGTGTGAAGGAAGAAAGGAGTATCTTTAGTATACGGAAGCACAACTGTGACAAATACCTGACAGATGCAACCCAGGTAAGAAAAGTTAACGGGGACATTCTAGTACTACAGAGCCATGAATAATAGTGAGTAGATGATATGCAGGGATTCAACAGCCGCATTAGCACAGAGTCCTGGGAGTCGTCACAGGGGAAGACCCGGCACAGCCAGAAATAGAAGCTGGAGAGCTCACGATGGAGAACAGTTTCAGAGGTCACAGAAAATTCTTCCACCCCAAGTCACAGTGAAAACCCACGTTGCAATGGGTTAAAAATGAAGACAACAGAGCTGTATATCATTTTCAGTAACATTTACTACCTTGACTTTGGCTTTTGAAAACAATGCATGTATTTGTATCAGCAGCTTTTTAAAATGTATATCAATATGCCCCGTTGTAAACTTCCACCCTTTAAAGAAGTTCTTAAAAGTTGTCAACTAAATGGGGCATCCAGTTAGAATGGTATATCCACCCAAAGTTATACTCTGTGTTCAGAACATCAAATGTACAAAATTGGTTCCACACTGTGTCTGGTAAAGTTCACAGAAGTTCAGTTCATGTTTGGGGGCTCAGGCAGGGATGGGGACGAGGAAGGCAGAGTTCTGGGCAGGGTGGCATCTGACGATTGGTCTCTCCCCATTCAGCTGTCCCACAATATCTCGAACCCCGACAGCTGTGTTGTATACTCGGCATGAAATCTGATGAAGACTTGATTTGATGAAGCTGTGAGGGGGGCTAGCCTAAGGTCCTAAAATTGAAGGAAGGGGGAGAGATTAGTTTTTAAACTGAACACATTTCTAGAAATGTCAGCCTACTTAAAGTATTACCTGTAGAAGCATCATAGAGTTTACATTCTGTAAGTCGTGATAGCAATAATGAATGCATTAATTAATACAAAAGAATGCTTCCAGGGACAGGAGGCTGAGAGGTGATGGGTGGGGAGGTAATGATGATAAAGCCCCATTTGTCTTTCATTTTCTAGATATCTGAACAATGGCGTGCCTCTACCACTGCATGAAGAGTATGCAGCCCATCACCCAGAAGCTAGCTACTGGAGGGGCATATGTGACCTGACATTTTATGCTAGTGTGTTAATTTTTTCTTTTATTCCTTTGCTTTATATTTTGGGTTAGCACTGTAAAATATTAAATAAATTGATAATGCCTTTCGTTTAATGAAATAAAGGGAAAAGTAATTACACATGGGAGGGAGTATATTTTGAAAGCACCAGCATACCCAGGTATATATTTAGATTTAATGTGACACTGGTCTACATGGGAGTCTTCTGCCTCCTAAAGGCCCAGTTCTCCTGCAACTACCAAGTACAGAGTACACTGTACTTCCTGCAGCACAGACTGTCCACTGCAGGATCAAATGGAGCTGAATGCTTAGAAGACACTGAACTACATGGGAGCCATACAAATATCAATTAAAAAAAAAGTGTATCTCTTGTTTTATCCTGGGCATAATAGTGACAGGGTGCCTTCTGGTCCCGAGATCAAAATTTCTCCCCAAGTAACTAACTTCCTGTGTGAAGATATAGTTAGCAAAATGTTTCCTAGAGCAGCAGCTGTAGTAGTGAAAAGCTGAGAGCAGAGGGTCTTTACTGAGTAACCTGGGCTTTACCCGGGTACTTAGAAAAACGATACACTGAAAATGTATCTAAATCCGTGGGGGTGTGGCAAGATATTAACAACAGATTGGTAAGTGACTAAACAGTATAAAATATGCATATATTTGTATGTAGTCAACGAAAAGTTCTGGTAGTAATAGGTAGCATTCTCAAGCTTTTAGATTTTTGATGTACTAACTGATATTCCGAAAAAATTTTACAACAAATTTTAAAATAATGTACACATTTTTAATTCTTTAGATTTCCAGTGATATAATGCTTTTCAAGTTTGATTCGAAGAATCATATAAATAAAGAGAAAAATTAGAAGCATAATGTCCTAATTCTATAGGTTTCTGCGGGGAGTGTAATGTAACATGTCTGCCACCAGATAGCGCTCATGGTCCCAAATAGAAAATCACTGTCTTCCAACTTTTTTTTTTTTTTTTTTTTTTTTTTTTTTTTTTTTTCGTATGTTTGTTAATTTTTGTTTTTTAATTTCTTTTTTTTTTTTTGCTTGTACCTATACTGTTACTGTCTATGTTTAAAAATCACATGTGAAAGTCTAATAATGCTTTACTCACTGCTCCACAGTACGGTCCAAACGATGGCGAGCTGGCATCTGGCCCATTATAGACAATGAGGTAGTTGTGGCCACAATCTCCTGGAGGGTTAATACTGACAAAAGGAAACCTGATGGTAACAGGTCTTCCAGAAGGAGCAAAGATGGACCATTCACAGTGAGTGTTGTTTGAGTAGCTGCCAGGGTAGCCAGGGCTGGTGAATATACCATCATCACCAAAAAGAGTCCCTCCACAGCCTGCAAGGAAGGAATAGAAAAAGGTCCTGTTTAGCAAAATGTAAACCATCCGGCCTGCTTTCCCACACATGCAGGCAATGGAAGGGACAGCTTTATCTTCTTACGGGGACAGAGAATCTGCAAAAGTATTCAGCCAACACAGAAACCCTCCTCTTGGGTGATAGCCCCTCCAGGCTCACTACCCCAGATATTCCTTTCTTAATGGTCTGTGACGTAAGGTGACTTCTCCTGGGACTGCCCCTTACTAACCTCAGGCTGGGAACAAGCTGGCAAACAACACAATAGTTACCCAGAGAATCAACTTTCTGAATGCTTTGAGAGTGCAGCAGGCTCCACAGCAGAGTAGGTAACCATGGCCAGGCAGCCAAAATCAAGTTCCATGTCGCACCCAGACTGATATTGCAGCTTAGATGCTACAAAAACCTGATTTTACCAGGCTCAAGTTGACCTAATCAACTTCTAAATCTGGTGTGATGCCTTTACCAGGGTCTTTTTCTGTGGGGCTCCTGTGTATAATAGCAACAGGATGCCTATTGGTCCCAGGACCAAAATTTCTCCCCAAGTAATCAGCTTCTTGGGCAAAGATAATAGCTATCAAAATGTTTCCTGGAGTGTGAGCTGTAGTAATGAAGAGCACACTTGAAGTCAAAGCTCTTTAGGTTTTGGTGCCGCTTTATTTGGTTTATTTGTTTATATGCCAAGGCTGCCATTAGACTTGACAAGAGGATCCAGAAGAAACTGCCTAGGGTAATTTTTTCAAGATCAGTTCTTACTAAGTAGGTCAGGATGGCCTCAAACATTATGACCACATTGCCTCAGCTTCCCAAGTGGAGGACTGCAGGCCAGGCCAGCATATTCATCACGTCCTCCTTTTGTCTTCAATTGGGCAGTTATTACTGAGCTGCCTTTGGGTGTAGAGACTTTGGTACTGTGATTATTGCATGGGATCCTTTCTTATGCCTGAGTACACTAAAAAGATTCCTTTTATGTTTCCATTTTGTAGGTTTTCAGCTATTACAGACCCTTCATAAAGGTATCCCTCCTTTCTTGAGCTAAATGTGCTCACATGACTTATATTTCCTGCTACTTAATAAATAGGCAACCAAACATTCAGGGAGATGGTTATTATCCAAAGAAGCAATTATGACACAGGACTGCCACCAAATGACAGGAACCGGGCAGGCCACAGATACTCATATGCGCACACCATCAGGAGCTTCTGTGTGCACACAGTGGGCTGCTCATACACACGTGGATATGTTCCTGATTCGGCCTTCTTGTAATTTCAGTCACTGAATTCCCCAAGAGAATTCCTTGGTGATCAAACCAGAAGAACAAGATAATGTTTATATGGGAATGTTTACAATGTTTACATCCTGAAGCCTTCTACATGTAAAATGCAGTCTTACATCATAGGAATGATATCATAATTGTAGGATTTTGAAAGATTAGAACTTTCAGTGTTAAAAATCTGAAATTTTTTCACAGAAAATCATCAGGTGCAGATCTAATGTGATAAAGACCTTTTAATCTGTAATCCTATTTCCTGTGGACACTTTAACTAGCCTCCGGCGGCTTCCCTCACAGTGAGTATCTTACCTGATGGAGAGGAGGTCCAGATAATGTCATATCCAGGTAAGGTGACTGAGGTATCGGTCTTAAACCTCAGATACAGTTCATTGCTCTGAGAGAAGACGGGGGATGGCAGTAGTGATCCACAGTACTTGTTAAGGAGCGGTGAACTTCCAGTGCTGCCATTTCGTACCTGTTGAAACCAGTCACTAGTTATCTCATCCATATTATTCCTGCTTCGGTTTATCATTAACCCATGAGGCAAGTCCAATAAGTGTTTTGTTTTGAGGACGGGCAAGCATATAAGTTGGAGCCTAACCCCTGACTAACAAACAGCATAGCTTTTCTCTCTTCATTCCTTCCCTCCTTCTCATTTCCTGCCATAGAAAGTATCCCATGAGGAAGACATGAGCTTTCCCTGGGAATTCACTCTTTGTTTCAGGATAGTGATTAGCAACAGATTTAGTTTAATTCTATATGGGAAGCTTTCCTACATATCAAGCCATTGGGGAGCTTGTGGGAGCTGAATCCATGTGCAAAGACCATCTCCTGGGACACCATTCTCCCCCAGGTTGAGGACCACACACAGGGGTGGGTGGGACAGGATGGTACAGAAACAAAACAGCTGGGGATGAGCTGGTGAGTAGAAAGACAGGAAATCTGTTAGCATTAAGAAGCAGCAAAAGCTGATGGAAAAGAATTATCAGAAGGGGCAGCATGAGCCTGAAAATTGTTTATCCCATGACGACCAGACAGTTCTGGAGACTTTATTTGGAATATAAAGCTAATCAAACACAGAAATTTTAACTACCCTGAGTTGATTAATATGCATGGCGTATGTGTTTGCAATATCATATTCTACCCCAACTATGTGCAGTTAAAATAGTGATTAAGCTTTTAAGGTCCTGATCAAAGAGGCAGTAGCAAAAGAAATAAATAAATCTTTGAGCAAGGTGTGGAGGTTGTAGACATCTTTCAGAGCCTTTTCTGTGTAGCTACACGGGAAGTTTTAGATTCAGTGTTGACAGACACTGGTGTGGCACCCATTTAATGGCCCTGGGAACCAATGTGTAAAAGCCTTCACACATAATTGGTGTTATCTGCACCTTAGTGTTCCCACTCATCCTGCAGATCAGAACTCTAACTTCCTTGAAGAACTCTTCTCTGTTCCCTTCCTGAATGGTGTTTCAAGTGACTATGACACTGTCACCCATACTCTACTTCCAGTACTGAAACTAGAATATGCTCAGTACACATTTATAGAATGAAAAACAATGATTAACTTAACAAAAGGAAGAGAGACATTGGATTAACATCATTATAGAAAAATTCTTAGGAATCCATCATCTTTTTACATCATCCATTTAAATTACATTCATATATATATTACCTCCAAGTAATCATGCTGACATTGTGTTGAGTCTTCCAGCTCAAACCAATAGAAAAAGAGGGAAATGGTGTGGTTCTGTGGGGCTCTGAGAATAATTATGCAGTCCAAGTTATTATCATATTCTTGAGGCCACCCAGGACTCTTCAGATTGCCAAATCCTTGGTTGTATTCTCTGTTGCAATCTAAGATAAAAACAATATTCATAATTAATGTGCACACCCACATATTTAGTGTTCTTTCATCTTAACAATTCAGTGTTTAAAGTCTACTGAATCTGAGCAAAGTTCAGAAGCTACTCCTGCCTCTTGGCTGATGTTTGAAAAAACTGGGACCTGAGAGATGCCAAGAATTTGAGAGATGCTGAGACTTGCATGTGCACAGTTGCAGTGCCATGTCTGGATAATGTGGAAGCCCCCATGTGAAAAGTGTGAAATGCAAGCACCCTTTGAAGAACATGCCAGCATCTTTTGGACTCTCCTACTCACATGGAGGAAGTCAGTGACTGACATTTAGACTTTTTCTAGACCCAAAAGTTCAACCTCCCAGACACTATCCACATAAGGATTTGCTTTGGTGAATTTTTAGTTCTGATACAATTCACATTTTTCATTTTACCATTTTTTGGTAAAATAAAAACCAGGAGTAACTATGTCTTTGAATCGAATTCTGCTTTAGTTTTAATTAAGTTCAAAACAGTCTTTACCGGAAATATTCTGTGCAAACGTTTCTTAGTCACCAAATGCAAGTAATTTCTTCATTAACCATGCTATTTATAAAATAATTTCCTAAGACAGAGTGATTCCCATCATTTTGGCCACACCAAAAATCACTGAACTGTGAACTTCAGCAAAGACCATGCTACTGGAGAAACCTTGAAAAGCTTGGTTTTCAATTGACTAAGTTAGGCCCAAGTCTCAGTTGAATCTTACTTCTGATGGGTATGTGTTACCTTAACAAAACCTAATGTATTCACACGAGTCAGTTCCAGCAATTCTTGTCATCAAATTTGCTTTTCCCATAAACAAGAAGTTTTCGGCTCACCTGCAATCTGATAGGTGAAATGCACTCTCGAGTTTGTGTTTAAAACTTCAGATTTGAAAACGACCTTTGCAGTCCTCCTTGAAGAATAAAATGCTGGCAAGGCTGTGAAGTTGGCACTGCAGAACTGAGTCACTGGACCATTTCTCTGAAATAAAACAGAAGCCACATTGCCTGAGATTTGGTTTCAGAAGAGGGTACCCAAACCAGATAGTAAACTGTATGTATCATGTGACTTCAGTATCCAGCCATGAGAAACAGCTCGTGTCTCAAGTGCCCTGCAACACTTGGCATTAGCAGTGTCCCACCTTCCTAAAGGGGTTGGAGGTAAGGAGCAGAGTTTCTGCTAAAACCATAAACAGATCACTTCTCTACAGAAAACAAGGTCGTTCCCTCTCAGCCATATCACGGAGAAAGCCTGTGTTTTGCTGGGAGCAGAGCAAGGCTGTGTGAGCACCCTACAGGTCTGTTACTCCAGCTTTTCCTAAAGTCTAGAGTTAAATTTAGATTAGCCTGAGCTAGTCGTACTCGATAGAGCATCCCCTTCCCTGTCATCCTGGGCAGTCAGTGCCTATAATAATGTCCCTGTTCTCTTTGGCAGCACTTTGGAGGCCTTGTTCCCTCTCAAATGCGTAGGGTAAATGTCTAATAATTTCTACAGATATAAGCAAGTACCCAAAGGCAGCACCCGGTAGCCCCTGTCATATTATGCATGTGGATGAAATACATGTGGTACATGGACTCTGAAGGCACATGCCCCAGCTCTGCTTCCAGACTCCTGTGATTGGTCTGTGCTCCTACACCTACCCTTAGCCTACTGTCTTCTGTATTGACCTCACCTTAAGTTTGTCTAATCTTTAACAGCATTGCTTAGCCCTCAATGTTTACATCCCAAGACTTTCAACTTTGTAGTATTATATGAATCTCAGGTTCTCCAGCAGCCTCATGAAGGCTTTCTTCACAGTTCACTGGGTGAAAGTGGTGTAGAGTGGTGGGGAGGGTCCTTCAGTGTTCTTCATGCTATCGTCTGTGGTGTCTTAGCTCACAGTAACCTTCTATGTCCTAGGTTTGCTCTGAGCCCTTAGAGGCTTTGAGTATTTTTATTCTCCTTTATTCATTCAGTTTGAGCATATTGTTCAGTGATGAGAAATACCTATTTCTCATCATTGAGACCCTTAGAGGCTTTGAGTATTTTTATAGACAGTGCATTAAACACCCTCACTTGTATGATTTGAAGCCAGTTCATCTGCTCTTGTACAGCTCAGTTCCCTCCATACACCTTTTATGTGCTGATGAGGAATTTGCCCTGATGAGGAATCTGCCCTGATCTCCCTTTTTCCAGCCTCATAAAGTGATGGGAAAATGAAAGACCTTTCACCCAAAGGGCCTCATTTTACTTGGCTCTAAATCCTTCTTGTGGGACTTCCACTGGGAAATAGGAACTCTGTGTTGACCACTGTCAGTGGGATGTCGCTAACCCAGTATCTCAACTACCTCAGGAGCCTAAGAATGACCTTGGTCTCTAGGATCTACATGGCACTCATCTGTTCTCTAGCATGTGCATCTCAGCCCCTCTACGCCAAGTCAAACTAGACTTTTGTCTCCCCATCAAGTTAGGGACATGTAAAAACCAGGGAACCTGGCTTTGTTATATAGAGGGCGTTGGAAACTCAGGAGGAGAGCTGTGTTACTGCCAGGTCTTAGGCACTTGAATATTGGCCTTCTGAGAGTAAACGAGTTAGCTGTTCACCTAACTACAGACACCATCCAAATGCTTCCCAATAGTTTCAGGGTATGAGCTCAGCCTATGAGCCCTGAATTTAAATATTTTTTTTTTCTGGCCACCTTGTTACTCTCCTCGTTCCAACTATCTATCAAGGACATGACACTGCTCAAATCTCTGGGTCTTTCACACACCAGCTGTCTCATCATCTTTGCCCATGTGAAATTAAGACTGGGATATTTATCTCCTTGAGCCCAAACAGCTTCTGTTTCCCCTTTTTAATTCTCTCACATTACCATAAGTGTAGCAACATTCAGCCCAACGGACTCAGTTGATTTTCCTGTATCAGTTCACCTTGTATACACCCTGTTAGCCACAGATGTGGTTCTCCAGGTGTGGCCCATGGAGCTCTAGGATTGGTGGCAGAATACAAGACATGCTCATCACACTTTGATTAATGTGTGTTTCGTAGATAACTTGGTGTCTAAAGGGTGCCCTAGAAATGTGCATTTTTAACAAGATACCCAGATGACTCTTAGACAGGATATTTTGAAAGCCACTTTCCCACAGGACTACATTTAACTTTCTCAGTATGATGGAAAGGATGGCTTTGTCTCCTGCTGAAAACAATACAATTCTAGAAGTAACGGGACTTTATTCAGGTTGGCTTCATCACTTCCAGTGTTTGCAGATGTGACGGCCATTATCCTGAGCTCTTTACCTGTGGTGAATCTTGAAGTTCTAAGTAGTTCTCTGAGCAGTCTTGTGAGGTCAGCTGTAACTCCCACACAGTTATCTTAATCTGCTTGTGGGGAGGAGCCACAATGATCCAAGTACAGGTGGAATATGGACGTCTGATGTTTGACAAATGAGGCGATGAAACGTTTTGTGGGGTCAAAGTTGCAACATGTGTTCCCCCACAAGGCACTGAGGAGAGGAGAAAGGAAAAATACAGATATTTTAATCCTGTCTTATTACACATACCATCTTTAAAATCATGCTCTAGACTGGCCCACAGGAAATATTTCATTATGTGTCAAAATACTTACTGTCCACAAAGGTATATGTTGCATTAAATCCTTCTCTTTCAAAAGTTACGTCAGAGACAAACTGTAACGTAAGGAAGTTTCTCGAAGAGATAAAAGGTGCAGGTATTTGGGAACCACAAAATTTTCCACCTAAATCTGACGTCTCACTCCTGCCATCTGCAATCTGGAAGAAAAGGGAGTTTATAGTAGCTAATTAATAGAGGAATTGTTATTTTACACTAAGGTTACCATAGGTCAGCACTAAGGGTCTTTATATTGGTGTTCTTACAGACGGTCTTAATTTAGATTGATAATACTATAATGGCTTTCAATAAAAATCCAGTATGATGCCAAATATATTTTTCTCTAGGAAAAGTAGTATACAATTTAAAAAAAAATGTCCATGGGTTCCTCAGACCATCCCTAGTATTGTTATTCTGCCTGAATTATTACCAGAGGCACTTCCTGAGGCTTCCTGGATATGTAAGCTCTTATTTCTTCTCTTTACTCTCAAGATGTCACCCAGAGGTTGCTGCTAAATGAAATCAGACCAGGAGCTGTCTAACTGCTTCCTACTCTCTTAATACAAAGACCATGCTCATGATAACAGTTGTCCAGGCCTAATGGAATGGGCTCTTCTCCCACCTCAGACCTCATGGGTCTCTTTTCTGGATATCTTTTGTCTGAGCTCCTTGAGCATCCCAGGGTCAGTCCTGCTTCACAGCCAGCCATAGCATCTGCCTTCCTTTACTGGACCACTCTTCCCTGTATCTGCAGTCTTTTCTATGATTCCCTCAGGTCTTGCCTCCTATATCACCCACTGTGTTCCCAGACTTTAATAGTATGTAAGGCATAAACAATGTTTTATCAATACCTAGTAAGTGCTTTGATTATGCCTCCACTACCCTCCTGCCATGTTTCTTTTGTCTTATTGTTCCAGAGTACCATGGACAAAGTCGTTTATAAACAAATAAGTTGATTTGGACAGTTCTGGGGGCTGAGAAGTCTTCAGAATTCCAGGGCTGCCTCCAATGAAGACCTTCTTACCTTCTGACATGAAAGCATCATCTGAAGAGATAGCAGGGGCATGCCAGCTCTGCAATAGCTTCCTAGCTAGTCACACCATCCTAGGAACCCCACTGGCATGACTTCGTCTAACCCCAATTATATCTCAAAGCTCCCCCAATACCGTTAGCATGTGGATTTGAGGTTTGTGTTTCTAACACACAATCTAGGATGATATGCTCAAATCACAGCACACCCTTCCCCAGAATGTTCTCCCAAAGCCTTCTCTATCTCAACAAAGAGCTCAAGACTAAACTTTAGTCATGCCTAACTCTTCTCCATTCCCACTACTACAACTACACCTGCTTCTTTCCACCTCCTAAATACACCTGCATCAATGTCACATTGCCCTGTGCCTTTAGCACACGGCTCCCAAATCAGCTGCACAGAGCAGTCACAGAGTTCTCCAGCATGCTGCCCAGGTGCGTGATGACTGAGATTATGCTCTTGTTCTTCCTGCAAAGCTACACCTTGCACTTAACACAGAGTTTTCACTCTTTACCACTATCTGCAAGCCCTGGCCAATAAAGATGCTATGCCTTATCTCACATTCATCCCCTCACTGCCTCTGGCAGTCTCCTTCCTTGGTGGCATAATCTTTCTTGAAGGATTGATAACTCCTAACCATAGAGCCTCAGCTCCATAAGTCACCTCCTCAGAGAGGCCAACCCCACACAGTGCTACCCTCCTCCAGTATCATCCAGTTTTATTTTACTGCAATCGAACTGTATCCTATTTATTGCTTATTTGCTTTTAGTGGGCTCCCTCTCTGCGAGAATGTGAACTGCACAAGTAGAGGCATGGAGCTATGCTCAGAAGTGTGTCCAGCACCAAGAACCATTCATGGCTCTCACAGCCTTTTACAAACACCCAAGGAAATAGTGATGTATTAGACGTCCCTCAAACCTTTTATTAAAACACAACATAGGTTTTACTTTTTGTTTATATTTCATCGATCTTAATTATACTTTAATAATGAGTTTCTGTGTTTGTGTAGCTCAGATATGAGCTCATAACAGAACCATATCAGATCAAAGATCTTAGAGCAGTGCTTCTCTGACATTGTTATAAAATGAAGATGATGAATTTCAAAATTAAAAGTTAAACTCACCACTAGATGGCACTGTCTCTCCTATATGAACAATTTCAATTTTTGCAGAGTGGAAAAGTAAGAGTTCTGCAATCTAACATACTCGATTTGCAGAAAGGAAGAGTTGCAAGTTTAGGAAAATGTACTTTTTCTGATAAAAAATGGAGTTTCATTACACACACTACGGTCTTCACGATCATCAAAAGTTTTTTTCACTTTTTCACTTTTGCATCATGTGCCTGGCTTGTGTTGGGTCTTTTGCCGGTTGAGGCATCTTGCCTACCCTTATTTTTGGTATTTTTAAGAAAAGGAAATCCCACAATCTCTATGCCTACTTGAAATAACCAAAGGGGGGAAATGGAAGTAAATTGGTCAATGACTCATTATATGACACTATGGGCAACACCCTAATATACATCGTTTTTATTCTCAAAGTAGCCTTGCAAAGCAGCTACTATTGTATGATTATTTTAAATTAAATTAAGTGACAAGAAATCATGTTAATTAAGAGTCTCATTTGGTAATAAAACTGGGTTTGAGTCAACCTATTATCTGCCTTCAAATTCTATTACTTTCCAGTAACCTAGGGAAGTGGGTTTTAAATAACATCTTAAGCTGTTCTGGTTACTTGGTCATTTTAAAGAAGGATTGAGTTTGAATTGACACACATCATACCACACTTTGTTATCTCTAGTTCCTCCTGAACTCCCTCGGATCAAGTGGCTTCTATCCCAATGTCTTATTAAAATGATTCTCATCCAGCGAAATAACTTTCTTCATCACAGACTCTCTTGGCTGGTAACCCAGCTTAACAGCACTGGCCACCCACACATCACTTAGAAAATCATCTTCCCTTGACTTCAGTGCATTGCACTGTTCCCCGATGTCACATGCTTTTCTCACTCATCTCTTTCCTTCCCCTCATCTTCTGTGGGACACTGCATCCCTGGGTACCTTTCCTAGAACTGAACGGGAGAATGGCTGTCTAGCTTCATGCTGTCTAAGGAAGCATGATTCTTTGAATTTTTTAGGAAGCTTTGGATGGCATCTACATAAATAGAAAAAGCATACCAATTAAGGAGTATTTCTTTTTGCATTCATATGTTATTTATACTGGGAATTGTCAAATTCCTTTGAGTATCTCATTCCATATGCCTATCTTCCCATTGATCACGCCTTTCAAGGCACTGAACAGTAGAAAGCTGAATCTTGAAGTGAATGTTAGAAGTCACTTGAAGTTTGAGTCATGATAACAAACATGAACTTGAATAGGAAACTCGAATCTGTACTGTATACTGAAGCCACTGTGAGCAACAGTGCTGCCATTTTGAATACTTCTAGATGGTAAGCAGGAACGCAGTGTTTTAGAATAGATTCTTATAGTGTAGCAGTCTTACCAGCACATAATCATAGTTGCAGCTTCCCTGTGCTGTTGCTGCCTCTAGAGAAAACTTAGTGAAGGTGAGATTAATGAGTTTGTTTTCAGGTGCAATTATGTACCATATGCAGTTTAGACCTTTGTCGTAGTATCCATTTGAATCAGAATCAGGAGAGACAAAGGTATTGTTGTCATCTGTCAGGTATCCACCACATCCATGGTGTGGTCCTGTGAAAACAAAGGCATAACAGTGTGCAGATGGACAAAAAGATCTTAACTTTCATGTGGAAGATTCGAAAAGGGGGGTTACATTTCCTATCATGTATTTGTGAACATTATCAAAAGGTTTCCAAGCATTGGCAGGGATGCACATGCATTTCTCAGCTTTTCTTGACTCCTTGCTTATTGTGGTCACTTGAAAGAAAATGGCCCCCAAAGGAAGTGGCACTATTAGGAGGTGTGGCCTTGTTAGAGGAAGTGTGTCTACTTCCTCTGGGGAGGCAGGCTTTGAGGTCTCATATATGCCCAAGCCAGGCCCAGTGAAAAGACCACTTCATGTTGCCTGCAAGTCAAGATGTAGAACACTCAGCTACTTCTCCAACAATATCTCTGCTTGTGTGCTACCATGTCCCACTGTGATGATAATTGACTAAATCTTTGAAAATATAAGCCACCCCAGTCAAATGTTTTTCCTATATAAGAGTTGCCATGGTCATGGTATCTCTTCACAGCAATAGAAACCCTAACTAAAACACTTACTCTCTTTTTATTCCGATCATCCACTGGGAGTTGCCTCCTTTTTTAGCATGTGTAGTTATCTGAGAGCAAGTATCCACATTAAGGTACATGCATGTGCCTCTCTGAAACTATTCATGTGATTTACTCAAGCTTTTCCCAACCTTGAAATACTCAATTTTCTGAAAATTGAGTATTTTGCATAACAAAGCTGGTGGAAAATGTGCACATGCCTGAGTTTTATGCTCTACTTTTGTGAACACTGCCAAAACTGAACATTGAATTTATGAAGATTTACCCAATACCTCTAAGAAAATTATCTCCCAACCCATTTTGCATTTAAATAGTCTGACAGAAAGAGGCTGTTAGCTCTGTAGTCTAGTTTACATTAAACTACCTTCTCTGTATTTTTTACTTTTCCAAAATCAAGTCATGAGGAGACTGGAGAACAAAAGAACTTCATTAGAGAAAAATTGCCCACACTTAAATTCAACAATTAGTAATACATAACCAATTACAGGACACAGAGTATTCTAATGATACCTTCATGAATACAGGGGGAAAGAATAGGAAACTGAATCCTCTGGATTTAGGCTCTGTCTACTCCACAGCCTAGTAGCTATATCAGAAATGACATAGGAAGAACATAAAATGAAGGAAAACTTACTAATAATTTCTAAGAAGGAGTTAGATTGAATTAAGCTCAAAGTAGCCACAGTAAAAATAACATTAGTGTTCAAATTGATGTTCTACAACTTGTGTTAGACACAAACACAGCTAACTTCCTCTGTCATTGCCTTCCATTTGTTTCACTCCAATTATTTCTCTACTATCAGTGAAAAGATTGCCCTCCACATTAGGGGGCATTAAGATGCTTTTGGACTTGACGAGAAGTAGAAACAATGGTAGCCTTCCTCATCTCCAACCACAAAGTACAGAGAGGTTTTCAGCACAGGCGCATGCCTTGGCAGGCCAGGCTGCCCTATCCACAGCTTCTGAGCCAGGTAAAGCTATAGAGTATTTGCATAGCCAGGTAATCACTGGCGTTGAAAAGCTTCCAAAGGCCTGACCCCTAATAACTGTGTGATGCTGGTGGGTCAGGTCATGAAGCATGCTTGCAAAACACAGAGAGAACTGGAGCTTGAACAGCTTTTATCCTGTTATGGGCTGTTACATAAGGAAACCAATTAAGCTTATTGGCTTTCATAGCAGGGAGCAACAATTACATTATTAATGAAATGGAAAATATATGTTTATTTAATATTTCCTTAATACTCAAGAAAGTACACATAGCCTTGAAGTCCATAGAAGTAATAACGTATAAATAGTTATAATACCCTGAAGAGAATTAGATGCCCTAAAAGGGAAAGGAAAAAATTAATTTTGCAAGAAGTCACCGACTAGTTGCAATGAGGACATATAATGCTCCAGTACCATATTCAACTCAGGCCTGAGGGACGCATCGAATAAGAACATGTAGAGATACGATTGAGATCATCTAGTCTAGGCTGAAAGAAGCTCCTCATCAATGTTAAATGAAAAGTATGTGTAGGAAGACACAATTTTGTTATGAAAACCATAAAGCAAATGAAGAGACACAACAAGGCTCAGGACTAGGACATGAAAAACCTTTGATTTTATCCTATGGATGGTGGGGATCCACTTGAAAGCCTTTTTTGGTAAGATTTATTTTTATTCATATTTATTGTATGTGTGAGTGAAAGCTACATGTGTGCGCGTGCCTGTCAAGGCCTGCGGAGTGCATAGTTAGATATTTTGGAGCTGGAGATACAGGTTCTGTGAAGCGCCGCCCTCTGTGGATGTTTTGGATAAGCTTGAATCCTCTGGACAAGTAATAACCACTACTAAACTTCAGCTCCTTGAAAGGCTTTTTTGATCAGAAAAGTAGCAGTATCATTTGATGTGGAATTGTGTCTGATAGTAGCATAGTACACGTAAGGAGAAGTTGACTAGAGGTGGTAAGGCCAGTGGTGAGACCATTGCTGCAGAGTACAATCGGCAAGAGGCAGTGAAGAGTCGGAACTTAATATACATTACTCCTAATGTATCAGCTTCAAATATGAAATGTTACTTTGAGGAAGGTAACCTATAGGTTTTATTACTATTTGCATGTTAGTTATTGTCAAAAACTTCTTAATAAGCGAAGAACGATGAGGTGACTCTTCTCACAGTGAACGGCATTACACACACTTACCACTCAATAGCAGCAATAACACTACTAATGAAAGTAATGCCATAAGGTATAAGGTAGGTATTCCTAGAACAGAGATGGGCATGTGACTGCACACCCATAAATGATAAAAAATAAATGTTTTAGTTGTAAGTAACTGACATCTGAATGGCTGGCTTCACAGTGCCACTGTTGTAATAACACACACACACACACACACACACACACACAGAGAGAGAGAGAGAGAGAGAGAGAGAGAGAGAGGGAGGGAGGGAGGGAGGGAGGGAGAGGGAGAGGGATAGGGAGAGGGAGAGAGAGAGAACTTTTTTGAGTTATCAAACTACTATAGAGAACAGAATTCATAAAATACAGAGAACAAATAAGATGGGAAGCTAGCATTACTTATTATTAAACAATATTATCAGATAACCCTGGCCAAAATAGCCAAGTAATTTAAAGAAAAATGATATTATATGAGTGGATAGAAGTTTGTAGTGTTTTGGAAATGCTAATTGTAGAAAGTGCCCCATTTTAGTATTTAAACATAGTGCAGCTTCCCCACATTTCAGATTCTCCTAAGGTAGATAGGAACTCAAATATGCATGTCTTTGGAGGCAAGCAACCAATAATCTTAGCAAAATGAAGATGCAATGTCAAAAAGTGCTATAACCACATTGCTGTGCCTAAATATCTATAGTCACAAGATATAATAGGATCTGTGACTGTGGAAGAGTTCCATATATTAAAATATCTCTATTTTCTGTAGTGGCATTTTGAAGTTCCTTTTCTTCTGATAAAGACATCATAACATTGTTCTGCTTAAACATCACAAATCCATCATCTTTTCCATTACCACATATGGTTCTACCATTTAGAAAGTGCTTATCCACCAGCACCTGCTTTAGCAGCTGTACTCTGTCAGAGCCACTTTGATGACCTGTACCAAAGAACAAATGTCACTGTAGCAGTCTATAGTAAATTGGAAACATTTAACTCAAAAGAGCGATTTCTCCAGAGAAAGAAAAGGTTTCGAGTGGGAGACCCTACTGGAGACTTAATCCCACATTCAGCAGAGAGATTCCAGCCAGATCTACTTAATTAACTCAGTAACTGAATCCTGAATGATTAAACTTCTGGGTGAAGCACAAGGCAGCATCAGTCTGATAAGAGAAAAAATAGCTGCCCTATCTAGGAGAAACATCTTAAGAGGCTTCAGTGGAGGGAGACAACTTAATAAAAAGTTATTGTGAGGACTGGCATTTTTGTGACTCACACTTTCCTGAGGCCTTTGGGATGCTATCTCTCTGTCCCTGGACTCTTTCTGCTCTAGAGGTTGGTGACCAGCTGCCGTTCAGATAATGATGACCCTGCCTTCAGCTTATTCCTGCTGCCTAGTACCATCTGTGGCTGGAGGTGGCAGCCAAAAAGCGCTGGAAGCATAACACAAATGCATCTAAAAATTGGTGCCCTAATAAAACAGGGCATGCCACGGTGGCTTATCTTCAACAACTCAGGCTTGAGCTTCACAATCCTAGTCTGGAGTAAAGCTCACTGTGACTTACACAGCTCCAGTATCAACTGATCCAGGCTTGTGAACTCACTTGAAAATTCAACATGGTTTCTTGATGAACCTGCTGTGCCTACTTCTCTAAAAGGGATTTCAGAGAAAACATACAGTACAACTTCATGATTAAAAACCTTCAGAAAACTCAAATTAGAAGGAAAGTTTCTCAATTTGACAAAGAATATCTGCACAACTTATAGCTATTAGCAAACTTTTAAAAAATTGTGTGCTTGTGTGTATGTGTGTTATGGTTCACACCTGTCGAGGCCAGAGACTAATGGCCAATGTCTTTCACATTGTTCTCCATATCTTGAGATAAAGCCCCGCACTGAGCCTGGAGCTCACTGATTCTGCTGTAGACTTAGAGTCATATAAAAAGGGGGTTTGGTGAGGAAAATGAAGCCATCTACTGTTGTTTACTTCTCTCCGCACATCAAGATAAATTTGTATGAGATATTCTTTGGTCTGTAAGTGTCATACCAGTTTAAAGGGAAGTAAAGAAAGAGATGAGTAATGTAATCTGTAAGGTAAGAGCTAAAATAAATAACAGATCATGTGTGTAATAACACAAAAAGAAGAGTGATAAAAGGTGATTACTTTTTTGTTTGTTTGTTTGTTTTTCGAGGCAGGGTTTCTTTGTGTAGCTTTGGAGCCTGTCCTGGAACTAACTTTTGTAGATTGGGCTGGTCTCAAACTCACAGAGGTCTGCCTGCCTCCCGAGTGCAGGGATTAAAGGTG